ACATTAATTCATTTGCTACATATATGAATTGATTGATGAATGAGGCTGAAATCGATTTCCAAATTTGGTAAAATCCCCAACTGTAATGGTTTAATAAGGACCCCGGAAACTACATAGATAGGTTACATTATTTTTGGGTAAATCAATATGTAAAAAAATCAAAAGGTCAGAGAAAATTCTGGGTAAATTAATATATATGGTTTAAAAGGTCATGACTTTTATAGGGTAAAGAAAAAAATAGTTATGCTAGAAAATGGGTAAAATTAAATATAAATATTTCAAATATTTTTATGTTGGTTCTATACATGAAGTCGAAATTATAACTCCAAAGTTGAAATATTCCAACTTTGGGTCTATGGTCGAAATTAAAAGTCGAAATACTTTTGGATAGTCAAAATACTTTGGATAGTCAAAATACTTTTGGATGGTCGAAATACTTTTGGATGGTTGAAATACTTTTGGATGGTCGAAATTATACATGAAGTCGAAATTAAAACCCCAAAGTTGAAATGTTTCGACTTAAGGCAACTACATAGTAAAAATAAGTTTTGACCTTATTTCGACCCTATTTTGACCAGATCTGCAACTGGTTGAAATAGTTTCAACTTCATGTATAAGCACCACACAATGTAATTGTGAAGGATTATTTTCTGCCTTATGTTTAAAGCATCTTAAGAAGTGATTATTTTATGTTTCTTCAATTAAATTATAATTTTAAATCTTTACATAACACAAATAATTCAACACAAACCAATTATGTCTAAGTTATTTCTTGGCTTTATGTATATATGTTAATAATATATGTTTTATTATTAATGATAATTAAATAATATTTTTTAATATTAGTATGATATTTTTTTTTTTTTGACAATATCCCTGTTAATATAATTTTTTTAATATTATGATGATGTTACCAGAATTAGATTGGACACTCTTTTGGCTGAAATTAACTAATTCCGAAATTCTTAATTTTATTTATTTTATCCATGTTGCCAACATAGCGGGCTTTATCTGTGATTGGTTGATCCATAAAGAAATTGATTGGATAATTTTATAATATGCCGATCAT